CTAGGGGGAAATTGTTGCCTTGCTATTCTTTTGAATTCTTTGAAAATGTTATTGCTACGTAGGGGAGTGTACAGATGTATATTTAGTGTACCTGGATTTTCAAAAAGCATTTGACAAGGTGCCACATAAAAGGCTTGTTAAAAATGATCTTTTTAGGTGTGATGGGTAGGTTCGCTCATTGGATAGAAAACTGGCTGGATGGTGGGTGGATGAAAGCATAAAGTTGTTATAAATGAAATTCAATCACATGTGGGATACCTCACGGCTCAGTGTTAGGACCTTTGCTCTTTTTGATTTACATCAATGATGTAGATGAAGGAACAGTCAATTTTAAATTTTCTGATGACAATAAGGTTTTGGTTTCTGCTGGCTGTGAGGAGGAACACTGCTACTTTCAGAAAAGGATTTGTATTATTTGTTGATTTGGACAAATATATTGCAAGCGGCTTTTAATTATAATAAATGCAAAGTAATGAATGTGGGATATAATAATTTAAACTGTAAGTATAAATTTGATCGGAATAACCTTAACAGTGTTATGAAATCGATCTTGGTGTTCTTGTTGATCAGTCTCTTAAGCCATCCAAGCATTATGTTGTTGCTAGTGGAAGGGAAATAGAATTTTAGGTTGTACCTACAGAAACATTGAATACAAGTTTGAATAAGTTACAATTTCATTGTATAGGTAATTGTTTAGGTTTTTGTTGGAAAGGTAATTGTTGGAAAGGGTTCAGAGAAGGGCTACAAGGACAGGTTTTTCATGAAAAAAGAAAAGTTAGAGGGGATCTAATTGAAGGGTTTAAGATTCTAAGGAGAATTGATTGTGTTCTCGTATTTAATTCTGAGAATGGTCGGACTAGGGAACACGAATAAAAATTTTGGCAGGGTAGAAGTCATCTTCAGCTAAGACAGCTTTATTTTACTAACTAGGTGTTTGGCCTTTGGAATGGATTTTTTTCAGGTTAATTCAAGCGAGTTTAAGGGTGGCTTGATAAATACTTCAACAATAAGGGCTGGCTTTGAGTGTTTAACTGTCATTTTAAAGTTTGATTAGAGGGTGGGAAGGCCTAGATGGGCCAATAGGTCCCTTGTTGATCTTAAATTGCATGTATATTAGAAAATTTTTGTTAAAGAATATATTGTGTAAATAATCATTAATAAAGAGTTGTATTTGCCTGTCTTGTCTATTATATGCTGTTTAAGTGTTTCACAAGAGTAAATGCAAGTTACAGCACATTCATGACATGGGTGTTGTTTTAGTTTATTTCATATAAATAGATTTTAAAATTTAAAGACAAAGAAAGCCACGCCATCTTGAAGGTAAAGAGCAGCATGCTCAACGTTTATGGATGTTAATTTCTTTCTTTCTCACACAATCAGAAAGAGAAGTTTGATGAGTAGTTATCAAATGTCTGAAAACTAATATGGCAATGATTTAGAATGACGGATAATGAAACTAACCTTTAAGTAATATCTTTAATTAGTCATTTTAGCTATTAATTTGTATTAAAATAAAAGGCACCACTTTAAAGAGTGACAAAAATGGAATTCATCTACTCTATAAATTATTTAGCCTGTAGTTCTCTATTAGAGTAGTCCAATGGTTGATGGTGGGTTCTGTTAACTGACTTCACTCTAGTATAATGGTTCAAAATTATAGATGGAGAGTGTAGATGGCTCTAGTGTTGCTTTGCACAAATATTGGAAAAAAAAAATCACATCTACACATATGTAGATGTGCATACAGGTTTTACAGTAGAGAAACTGGTTATGAAATATAGGGAACTTGCTAGTATCTAGTTACTCATTATCATAGCCCATTCCCCTTTGGTGTCACATAAAAGGTTGTAAGGCTGCAATGCTTAGTAAACTGTGCAGTTTCTATAGTCTCGTCAACTGTGTAGCATGTTTAGTGACACCTGGGGAATACGTCCTTTCTGTTTTTACTTATGGAATGATCAGTGACGTGAGTACTCATGTGCTTTTGTAGAAGTGTCAGTATTGTGTTTATATATAGTCATTACACTCTCTAGGTTTCATTCAAAATTCCTTTACATTTCGATCAAATGTATTTTTGACACTCCGTTCTCTTTTCAGATAGAGAGTAGTTCTGCCACTCGTCTATAAACTCCAATTTCTTTGATTTGTGTTGTTTTATTTTACTCTTTTATTTGTTCTGTTCAATCAGAGAAAGAAATTGAGTTTAACTCTGTGATATATTTTCTGACAATCCTCCTCTTACCTTCGGTTACCACTTACCTGTATGGTAAATCAAGGCAGATGAGAATACCACAACACTACAAACATACTTTAAAGGAGCGTTTTTATTATTTCTGGGAGTTGATCATAAACTATATTTGGAACACACCTGCGATTATATACCCATTTCTCCTTTTGTCTGTTAAAGAAAAGCGACAGATTATAAATCAAAATCTCCCTTCTGCATATTTACAGCAGAATATTGATGGAATGATAAGCAGATCTAAATATAGCAGACATAGAAACCTTTCATGAACTCCTACTTTGATTGGGACACAGTTCCACACTTTACACATAGATTGCTACTAAAATATATCGTGAAAGACAGAAATTCATTTACTGGATCCAACTTACAAATCATAAAGCTTCGACACTATAATGAAATATCTAAGAAAGTGTAATATTCACATAAGTCACCGTTACACGAATGACTGTAACAGGATATACTAGTTTCATAAAAGGATTTATGATTTTTATTAAAAATAAGTGTTTAGTTTAAATTGAAATAAAGATAAACAATGTGATAGCTGGTTAATAATTTTCAAAGCTTGGGTATATCAGTGAAACGAAATATGCAGTCTTTGATAAGCATTTATTTTTACCTATATAAGTTGCTTCATATGTTAATCACGCCGAAAATAAACTAAATAATATTATTTATTTCTATTTGATTAAGCAAATGATATAAAATTTTATAACTTTTGACAACATGTTAAAGCATAAATAAACCTATGACAATATAATGTATTAATTTTTGGCAATTAGCTATTTTTTGCTAATGTAATAACAGGAATAAACACTTGTATATGTCAGCATATTAGTATTTTAACATTACTGTAAATCTTAGTGTAGGAACGACATCGTTTTATTTCCGTTATTATCAAGGTGATTATCTAATACACAAAATGAACAATCAACTGGTAGCACATTACACATTCTCTGTTTGTTATATCTAAGATAAACAATTTATCTTAATATACGCATCCAAGATGAAATATCAAAAGTGCACGAACATAAACGTTATGGTAAATTTGCTTACAAAATGAAACTTCTGGATACATCATTGTAAGTGGGAAACATATGCAAACTACATTTCACTCGTTTTTATTTTTAAACCGATTAATGCAACTATCAAGTTAAGTGTATGGTTTAAAATTTACCTTAAGGTATTAAATTTTACGTCTCTAGAAAGAATGTTTAATTCAAAGATATAATTGGCACATATGAGGAATTTAGAGTTCTTCTTGTAGGTTATAACAATATAATGGCAGCTTTGTATGAAAAAAAAATCGTTTAATAAATATTTGTAAAGGTAACTAAATGTCTTAAAGATAATTCTCATCTTTTATCTCCGAGTAAAAGCCGATTACGACATGAATACTTTCAAGATCACTATTACGAAAACAAGAAATACTTTAATATCTTTACTGTGGTTGACAATATATTTTTGCTCATTTTAACAACCATGAAGTATAAATGATATGATAACATTAATCATGTTATTACGAAATTCATATTATTGTCATCAATTTTTAATTAGTATTTAAAATTGGGTTTATTATTGTTTATAAGAACAATTGATAACCAGTAAATGGATGTAGGTAAGTGTCCGTGCAGTAAATGGGTGTAGGTAAGTGTCGGTGCAGTAACTGGATGTAGGTAAGTGTCCGTGCAGTAAATGGATGTAGGTAAGTGTCCGTGCAGTAAATGGATGTAGGTAAGTGTCCGTGCAGTAAATGGATGTAGGTAAGTGTCCGTGCAGTAAATGGATGTAGGTAAGTGTCCGTGCAGTAAATGGATGTAGGTAAGTGTCCGTGAAATCGTATCTCGCTATTTTATGTTTTCATTATCGTTTTTAGATAAATTAAGAAACCAATGAGCTGTTAAAATTTATACGAATAGAAATTATTTTCTGCTTTAACAAAAGTTAGTTTTGCGTGTCTCGATGGGACTGTAATTTTCCTATTAGATACAAAGTAATTGTGTTATATTAAAGCATTCGTTCTAGGTTTCGTTTAGGCGCTTTAATTCTACTCGATAATATCTAACACAGCTTCTTTGATATCAAATGTATTTAATATCTTTTGACATTTTGTCGAACCAATTATGACTTAAAGTATTATTATGAAGCGAAATTAACCATACAAAAAAAAAGCAATTACGTCAATATTTTACGTTATGTGCTTTTTGAGACATCACTTTACGAAATGCTGCTACTCTTAAGTCCCATTATTGGTAATACAGGAAATATCTCATTATTATGAGTTTATAAAGAAGGTATGAAATGTAAAAATGCGAAATTAAAAGACATCCTGAAAATATCTTATTAGCTTCCGAATAAAATTATTCGCGAGGTATTTCCGTGATTGTTGTGTATACTTTATATTGTCTATACATTTTGTTGTATGAGATAAACTGTATCGTTTAAGTTATAATAGCACAACAATATCATGTCAGAGGGTACAACAAGCTTGATTTGAAACAGGTACATCTATTTTCATAAGTTTCGTTTTCAAAACCAGCACATATTATTCTCCAGTTGCTAAAATATATGATACACTTCATGCAACAGGATTGACCTTTGTTAACCTTATCTCACAACGTTCACAATATGGTGAGGGGAGTGTTCAGCTTTTCTTTCTTTTTTATACATCAGGATCACAATTTTTGGTCAGGCATACTTTTCACACAGAGGTATGTAACAACGTTTTAAGTTATAACTCTGTTCATGCAACAACAGGACAAAACAACTAAAAGATAAACACTAATTTGAATCTCATTCAAACACAACATCAAAGTGGGATTATCTTTTACTCTACTAGGATCGTTACACCTAAAGCTTCTTTGAGATTTTTAGAATCATCTACTCTACAGTAAATGTTTATTCTTCAACGTTTACTCCTCACTTAAAAGATACCAACAACTGTAGTTTTAGAGTGGATGTCAAGAGATCCAGTATCCCAGAAGCATCAGCACCAGAGCACAGGAAATACTGCTGATGATCAGATGAACAATCCTCACTCTGCTCGTGTCCTTAAAGCGAGTTAGTAGAGCTTCCTATTAAAAAAAAAGAACAAAAAGAAACCAGTATTTTTGTTTTTATCAGATAAATATATTTTGCAGTGTATGTGAGTTTATGGACAACAGTAAAAACGGTCTTGTAAATTCAGAAAGTTCTTCTTACTTGAAACCTTATGCACATATTTTTTCTACTGTAATAAATTCACGTGCATAGCTTAGAACTTTAGGTTACAACTGCAACGCACTGATTTCTGTGATAAACTACACAAAACGTTAGTGTCAGCAATCACGTAATACACAAGAGAGAAAACGAAGGCAGGATTTTGAAACACAAAGGGGCAAAAACTTACAGAAAAGTAAAAATATTTTATGCAATACAAAAGATAATTTATATATCTATGAAATTATACTCTTTCCTACAATGTAAGTGTGTGGGTACGTTTTCTAATAGCAAAGCCACATCGGGCTATCTGCTGTGTCCACCGAGGGGAATCAAACCCTTGATTTTTGAGTCGTAAATCCGAAGACTTACTGCTGTCCCACCGGGGGATCCTACAATGTGAGTGTGTGTGTACGTTTTCTAATAGCAAAGCCACATCGGGCTATCTGCTGTGTCCACCGAGGGGAATCAAACCCTTGATTTTCGAGTCGTAAATCCGAAGACTTACTGCTGTCCCACCGGGGGATCCTACAATGTAAGTGTGTGTGTACGTTTTCTAATAGCAAAGCCACATCGGGCTATCTGCTGTGTCCACCGAGGGGAATCAAACCCCTGATTTTTGAGTCGTAAATCCGAAGACTTACTGCTGTCCCACCGGGGGATCCTACAATGTAAGACGAGAAGAATGTGAAGATGCATATATGAGTATTTTTTACATAAGAAAGACAAAAATGTATATTAATATAAATGTGCTGTTTGTTATGCACAAAACGAAAATTGAGGGTATACATCAGAGCTCAGTTTGCCATACACTAGATGCAAAAAGTTCGGGTATAAAAATATTTCAATGTAAATTAATCATTCAAATAAACTAAAATTCAGTCTGCCACAAACTAGATCAGAGGTTTCAACCTTTTCAGACTGTAAATCAAAACACTTTATGTAGCTCTATGCGAACCACTTGCATTTCAGAAATACTCGGCAACTGTAACACCCCAAAATGCTCAAAATAATATTTTACTGGTGCATTTTTATGCCCTGAATCCGAAAACCGTTTTTCCCCATATGGTGTTTTTGCGAAGAAATCGGACCCAAAATTTAGGAACGTTCACAATTAAGCACACATATAGGAAATCCCCACCCTCCTTATAACCAAGCCAGCGTGATCCAGCGGTAATTGTCAGCGTATTTTGTTTTACAAGTTAAAGGTTTGAGTTCGACTTCCAACGCATCACTTTTTCATGGATTTTTATGGTAAAATTTTTATTTGTTTGTTTGTTTTAATACAAAGCCACAGTGGGCTATCTGCTATGTCTACTGAGAGAATCGAACCCAGAATTTTAGTGTTGTAAGTCCGTAAACTTACCACTGTCCCATCGAGGGACAAAAAAATTATATACAATTTTTTGACTGTGTGGAATAAAATACTTTTTAAGTATTTTAAAGCGCCATATAGGGAAAACCGGTTTTCGGATTCGTGAAATATCATTTCGGGCATTTTTAGGTGTGACATTTGCCGAGGTAACCGTGTCAGATGGAGCAGTAGTGTTTACGAAATCATTTGTTACCACACTAGAAAGGCAAAAATGAAATTAATGATATTCCTGTTAGCCAGTATGCAAAAAATAAGTTACTTGTATAATCGTTTTGTGTATCACCCCAATATCCTCATGTAACACCCGTTGAAAATCATTGCAGAAAACAGAGATGAACCTAAGTGCAATGTTGATCTTTAATTTAAGTAAAATCACGGTGTTATATTTATTATGTACATGAAATAAACATAAGAGTAAATTCTGTATTACACAAGGCAGACAGTATCTTACTCTTTTCTAATTAATCAACTAATTAATTATATAAGGGCAGATACGTTTAATGTGTCTACATATAAAATATAAATACATATTCTACTCACGCGTCGGATGATTAATTATATAAAAGCGGATACATTTAATGTGTTTAAATATATATTAAATTAGCATTTCGAATTATTCAACTGAACATATTTTCTCTTCAATACAACAGTCTGCAGTCACGACTTTGTTATGGCTTTAGGCTTCTACGTTGATTTGTTTGTTTGTTTGAAGTTAAGCACAAAGCTACACAATGGACTATCTGTGCTCTGCCCACCACGGGTATCGAAACTCGGTTTCTAGCGTTGTAAGTCTGCAGACATGCCGCTGTGCCACTGGGGGGGGGGGGGCTCTACTTTGATACAGCTTCAGTAACATTCTCATTTATAAAACAATTTGCTTACTTTCACGAAGTTCAGAACGTGAAATATAACAATATATCACGAAGTTCAGAACGTGAATTATAACAATATATCACGAAGTTCAGAACGTGGAGTATAACAATATATCACGAAGTTCAGAACGTGAAATATAACAATATATCACGAAGTTCAGAACGTGGAGTATAACAATATATCACGAAGTTCAGAACGTGGAGTATAACAATATATCACGAAGTTCAGAACGTGGAGTATAACAATATATCACGAAGTTCAGAACGTGAACTATAACAATATATCATGAAGTTCAGAACGTGAGACATAACAATATATGATTGTCACAAGTCGCTTCATCCTTGTTTGTTTTGATACTTTTCTAACGGCTTTTCTTTACTGTTCTGAAACCATAACAAGACAAATATTGACCAAAGCTGAAATAAACTTTACTTTGGAACAGCTGCGGAAAACTCAAATATTGGAGCATTTCAAAAGGTCACTAGGCTATTCGCGAGATATATCTATATAGTTTAACATTCTTTTATCATCGAGGTTTTAAAGAATTATTATTTTTTCAACTTCCCATTTAAAAGCATATGTATATGATTAGGGAAAACACTGCAAATTATTGTTATTAGTTTTAATAAAAAGCAAGATGTGATACGTTGATTACAACAAAGGTGTACTGCATATATACGTAACACTTTTAGGGGATGTTTTTTTATTCTATATGCTTTTAACCCGGCGGACGAGGACGCTTGCAGTTAGGTATTCCCAGACTTAAGCTTTCAAGCAGTGGGTTATAAACAAACTTCATCTATAGTGACAGTCAAGGGATTTTTTTATAAGCTAGTGAATAACTGTTCCGTGTAAAGCTTCATACTTACCGCTACTGTTAAATAAAATGACTACGTAAACAAGCACACCGTGAAATATAGTGTGACAGTAATAATCTTGGAATAGTACATCACGTTTCCTAGTTGCATTATTTATCTAGGATGTCTTTGTATAAGATCATGAAATAAAGACAAAGACGTGTCTGAGGGTTTTAAGTATAATAAACGAAGATTTTAATTTTACAAAATTTATACAAAATGTGAATAAACTCTTTACTAACTTACTTCTTACCAACCGTCAACATTTTTTTTATTTCAGAGTACAGGGGTTATTTACTTATTACACTTAGAATAATTAAACTAATATTTTAAACGACATATTATAATTTTGGATGTAAGATTTACTAAATAGATCGAGTAAACATTCTAGGAACAAGTTATCTATCTGTTCTTTATCTCAATCCATCATAATAATGATAAACGTGTAGATGGAAATCACACATATGAAAGTTCAGTGCTATTTTCTTTTAATATATAATACAATTGATTAGGCCTAGGACCAGGAAACAAAAACAACAAAACTATGTAAATATCCTAGAGTCAAAAAGATTAGTTGTAATCGCTATTTTTATGGATCCGTATCAATATTATAATTTTACATAAACTAACTATGGAATTATTGTGACTCAACTGTAAGCACGATGGTTCACAACGATAGCTATGGTAGGCACAGCACAGATAGCCTATTTTGTAGCTTTGCTCTTAAAAAGGAACTTATGCTGAATACGAAATATTACAATTGCCTGTAGAGTTTTTCTTGAAATATATATATGTATGTTATGTACTTTAGGTAATAAGAAGGAGTATAATCTCTTTTCGTTTGTCTGTTTCAAGTGCATTTGAAGCTTTGTACTGTCAGTTTTGGTTTGTGTATCAGTGAACGCTCCTGAAGAAGCTCTAAAGCGAAACGTTGAGTGTCTAATTAAATAAAAACAACACTTATGAGATCACTTAGTTCTAGTATTAAGAAGGTATTCCTCTTCCTTCACTTCTTTATCTTGTCTGTCTTAAGGCATGAACCATTTTTGTAAACAAATTAGTCAATTGTTTGGTGAGACATTTGAATAATGTCGAAATAACTTTCAAATAAATGTTCTCTGTCAGTGGCAATAATCACACATGACTCAACTAATATGAGACAAGAATTTGATTTACTCCAAAGCAGAAAATAAAGAGCAAAAAATCTGCTTCACTCCACAAAGACAGAAGAGTTACGTCCCTAAAACACTTTTAAGTCAAATAAAAGTCCTTGTTCGATGTCTCACAATCTTAGAGTACTCATTTACTTCCCACATATTAAAAGAGAGATAATTCTCTACTCATACTAACTTATATAAACCTTTGCACTACCCCTCCACTCAGATAAGTTTGTTTGTTTGTAACTAAGCACAAAGCTACACAATAGGCTATCTGTGCTCTGCCCACCACGGGTATCGAAACCCGGATTCTAGCGTTGTAAATCCGCAGACATACCGCTGTGCCACTGGGGGGGGGGCACTCAGGTGTGACCCACACCAAAGGGGAGACATCAAAGAAGCAAGGATTAATGAAAGTTTATTGCTATATACACCTTATTAATACGGCGCTGGTTAAATACATAACATTTAAATAAAACGTTTGAAAAAATGTATGAAAATAAACAATTTGAAGGAAACTAGTTAATTTGAAACTGCTGGACTAATATGAAGGATTTACGTGCATAATATTTCACGTGGTGATTTAAAATTTGTTATGGTATTAATTAGTGTTA